GATTTTATTCACACAGTAAATTACATAGATTTTTAACAAAGTCTCTATTCAAATGATAGTAACCTAGCTCTAAAGAACAGTTGTTATTCCTAGAAGGAAATGGAGATTTTCTTCCCCAATGGCCACTCTCTTTTTAAAGGGTGGCATAGTAGTTCTTGGAGTTGTTTGCTTTTTGGGCCTAGCCACCTTTAACAGCTACTAATGTCTTTCTGTAAATGATGAGGGGGAAAAAAAAAAGAGAATTTTTAGAGAATAACTGAAACTGAAACAGAACAGGGAGCGGTGAATAGTGTTATCACTCATGACTCTGCCACCACCATTTTTTAAACAATAAATCCTCTTGTAGAGTCTTCCTCATACAACCTTATGAGTGTCCTTGGAAGGTATACTTGGCTGTGATTTTTAAAACTACTGGCTTCCTGTTGTCTTCAGCTGAACTACCCATTTTTTGGCATCTAGAAGTATGGTTAAAGGCACCTAGTCAAATACATTCATAGCCGTACATGGAATCATCTAGCTACCAAAGATACTGCAGAAACATGCAGTTGCCGATATTTTTAGTTTATGATGAGTAAATGGAACAGCTTTACCTCTTTCAGTGGTAGAACTGTCAAAAAGCATTTGCCTTTTTTTTACCTCTACCCCCCAAACGTGGACCATTTCAGAATCCATTACAGAGGAAATAAACAGTTGTTGATTTTTAAGCTGAAGATGAGCTTAGGAACCATTTTCACTATATTGATGTCAAAAGTACCTCTCTGGCAAGCTCTGAAATGCACCTTCAAAAACTACTGAAAATATCCAAGAACTTTAGTGATGAGCTACAAATGGACTTTGGTATTGATAAATAAAAGTCAATATGTATAGTGAAAGGACAACTTACTGTGATAAATGGGTCCACCATCAGTAAAGATCAAATTATTGACTATCTAGGGCAACAAAAAAACCTGTCTAAAGCTAACTTCTACAGGTGAGAAGAATTAGCCAACAACAGCAATTCAGGAAAAGCTCAAAGAGTTATGCAGGGAGAATTCATTAAAAATACATACCAACAAAGGCGGCAATGTCCTGTTAACAAATACATCTGTGGCACTAGGCCGATGTCTGTCTTGAGCAACACCTAAATTTATATCATTTTCTCTGGCTTGAATGGCTCCCGTGAGGATTCCCACATTTCTACTCAGGGAGATCTGAGTCATCCAGACTTCCTGATGGCAGAGGACTTCTCTACACCTCTAAAAATCATGTCACTCTTAGAGTGTTGTCGCCAATGCCCCTACGTTGCTTTTTTACCCTACTCCAACTAGATCCCAAGTTGTATGAGGGCACATTAAAAGGACCTTCACTTCTTCACCTCTCACAGTCTAGCACAGAACTCTGCCTACAACAGGCACTAGATCAATATTTGTTGATGCCATCGTTTTTGAAATGATTCATTAGAGCAGCCGTGGTCACCCATCATGTCAGAGTTTAATGATGAAACATCACAGGAAACACCCCAAAGAACAATTGCAAGGATTAGCCTATCAAACAAACAAACAAAAAGTAGAATGGCAGTAATTAACCTCTTCCAGGTCTGCTGCTCCCAGCTGGCAGAGTGGAAGCATTTCTCCTACAGAACGTATAATTGGGTGGTCTGTGAACCACCCAGTCAAACTGAACAAATCTTGTTCATTTCAGATCTGGAAGCTAATGTGTAATTAAGTAAAATATCTGAAGAATAACCCTCCCAACTCTCTTACCCCCTCCATACGAGTCATCAGAGGTGAAAGCAGAATGATGGCATGGTACCTACTAGTGTGAGGTTAATGACAGTCATGGAACTAGAGCTCACCTAAATTGTGTCTTTCGGGGGAGATTCGGGCTGTCAGTACACCCTGGGCCCACTTTATTACCACTGAAAATAGTTGCAGGCATGTACTTTGTCGTTCTGGTATTATATCCTATTCTACTTGGAGATTTCTGATTTATAACTGTATTTTCTAAATATTGAGCACTTGATAATATTTGCCAAAGGATTGAATAAATGTATGAATGGAGAAACAATTTTAAATTGTGGAAGAATACTATATTGGATGACAAGTGCAATGCATTTACCTGAATAAGTAGAGGTGCTACCTCACTGGCTTCTCATAATAGATTTAGCAATGTGACTTATTCCCTACTGTAACTACTTATGCTAATATTTACACATTTACAAGTAAGACAGAGAGAGAGAAAAATCACTTCAACAAACCAGGAAAATTTGATCTTATATTGGCATATAATATTCTGCAACTTCGATATATTTAATTATTTCCCTTCAACATTTCACAAAAATCTATGAATTTCAAAATAATCTGTGAGTATGAACTAAATTGAAGGAAATTGAGTTAAAGGCAGCTACATCAGTAACTACTTGGGCCATACATGCCTCTCCTTCCAAATCAAAGACTGAACCACATCACCCTTTTGCAAATATGGAGCCTTGGTCACAAAGGGGCCTAACCAAGAAACTGAACAGATCCAGCAGAAAGAAAAGAAAGCACATATTCTCTTGGATCAGGAGGCCATCTGGCATGGTACCTCTCCTTCATTTGTTCATTCACGTTATAAACCCTTCAAAAATGCCTTCTCTATACCTTCTGTGTTATATACAGGGCACCCAGAAATGAGTGAAACAAGCATGTTATCTACTTCCCTATTTTTTTCCATAAAATTCAGATACACAAAGCTTTTAAAAATTCGTTTATTTAAAATATGAATTTTGTCTTTTTCTCATTTTTTCTAATCAAAAGTTTTCAGTGAAGCCCTGAATTCACACTGTGCTCATACTTGCTCAAAACAGAGGAGCATCATCCGTCCTGGGAGGTTTGGTGGAGCTACTGGAGGGAGTATTTGGACCACAGTTATGTTACTAGTCACCTTTCCAGTGTTTCTATGCAGTCCTGTTGTCAACACCATTGTTACATACACTCCGTTAAAACAGCAGGAAGGGACCAGACGGTGGCGTTACAGGGATGCAGGACTCCAATGCGTGACCAACACAGGAAGGTCCCAGGTTCATGTCCCAGGCTTTCCCCGTAGGTGCTGGGTATGCATCTGCCTGTGTCTGGGTTGGCTGAAGCAGGGGTGGATCGCGATGTGGAGACCTGCTGGGGTGCCTCTCTCTCTGTCCCTGTCTCTCTCTCTCGGTCATGGAAGAAATAAATAAACAAAACTTAAAAAAAAATGTGGAGGAGTGTGGTGTGGCACATGTGAGCACTACTAATACCTCCTGTACACTGTGCGGGACACTCGTGTCACTTACTGAGTGTGTGAGCCAGCCTAGTCTCACCTCAGCACTGCTCGCTCATCTCCTAATGGACTTTTAGAGACAATGGCCAGGAGCACTCCCCTGTGCCAACATATCTCATGTATGATGTATAAACGTATATTTTGTTTATTGCATGTATGTCCTATCAATAAAATATGTGGGGACCAGCAGTTAGCATAATGGCTATGTCGTTGGACTCCCATGCAGTCGACTGCAGTTCGCGTCCCGGACCCGGTGGCTTAAAACTCATGCCGGGCGTGTGTGTGTGCGTGCCCAAGATCCCAAGAGGAGAACGGAGAAGGGATTGCGGCGTGACCATCCCCCCTGGGGGGTGATTTCTCACTTTCTGTCTCTCAGTCTCTCTTTGGCGAGCGCATGCACCCTATGGCAAAAACCTCTCCAAAAAAATAAATTAATTAAATAAAATATGTCGTGTATGTGGGACCAGCAATTAGCGTAATGGCTATGTCGCTGGACTCCCATGTAGTGCACCGCAGTTCACGTCTCAGACCCGGTGGCTTAAACTCAAACCGGGTACATGTGCATGCGTGCCCAAGATCCCAAGAGGAGAAAGGAGGTGAGGAGATTGTGGCCTGGCGATCCCCCTGGGGGGTGATTTCTCGCTTTCTGTCTCTCTGTCTCTCTCTGTCTTTCTGGCCAGTGCATGCTCCCTATAACAAAAGACTTCTCAAAAAAATATATATATATATGTAGTGTGTTACCAAGTTCTGAAGTGACAGTAACAGCGTTTACTGCAGCAGCTTACATTGTATAAAATTTCATTGTACTCAAATTTTTATAATATATAATGATATAAATATGAATAAAGATGTTATTTATAGCATTTGGCCTCAGACAAATAAGTATGACATAATTTCTGTTACTGAAGGCTTGTTTTGTTTATTCACTAAGTTTCTTCATGAAGACAAGGCCCATATTTTTCTGATGATTTACAGAGCAGGTGTAATACGGAAATATGTTACTTGAGGAGGTAAATTAGACCAAGTAATATATCTTGGGGGAAAGTGTGGAAGCTTGACTTTGTTTCTCTAGCAGAAGTATCAGGTGTAAGGTGTTTGCATTCTGGCCATAATTCCTACTTAGGAAATACTGTCTCCTGACAGTTTGGAGACCCACCAATCAAAATACTAGCCCACCTTATTGTTTTCAGTGTATTCATTCTATATTTTTAAATTTATAGGACTTTTTATAGGACTTACTTTTTCCATGTTCAGTACCATAGTTTTTAGCTGAATTGAAGAAAACCGAAATGCACTCAAAGCGTTCATTAGCTGTGATTCGTATGGTAAAAGGAACCGTTGTCACAGCTTAGAGCTGGTCTTCCTAATTGACTAGCCTGATGTTCTTCTCTCTGTGTCCTATTGCCGTTAATTGACTATATTGTTTTAGATTTATGCATTAAAAATACGATTTCGACTTCGAGGAGATCACTTTGTTACTTGGTAGCTTTTAAGCTGATGCCATGAACTTATTTTTCTTCTAAGATAAAGTCACATCTATAGATTTTTCAACTAATTACGTGTCTGCCAATAAATACTTAGAGGATACATTTTATTTCAATTTATTATTTGTGTTTACGTCGTGTGTCCCTGGAAATATCTGTGGAACTGAAAGGAAATGTTTTAGTGGCTTGCTACTACTTTTTCATCGCTCTCTCTTTCTTTTCTCTCTCTCTTTTTAATAGCTCCAGTCAGTCCGGCCAAGCATGACAGCACCTCAAACTCGGCAAACTTCCAAGACATTGAGGACATGCCTGACAGATGCGTCTTGGACGAGTCTGAGAGTCCAGGTGAAAGCCATTTAAAAATAGTCAAGTATAAAATGATAAATTTGACACAGCTTTGGGGTCCTTGGAAGGGGGTGGGGGGAGAGGACATTGTAATGCTGTTTTCTCTTAGCAGCTGCACTGTCAAATTAATGGTCACCTCCAGGGTCACAGTGTGGAGCTGTTATCTTTCCCTCTTTCATCAAGAATTCAGTTGGAGGAAGTACAAAGGCTTTATGACTGAGAAGGGAAGCTGACACTATTAGTTCATTAGCATCACTTTTAAGCTAAACTGGTTAATAGAGGCAGAGATTGGAAACTAGAGAAATGGCAACATTTTAAATATATTAAATAATGGCATCTAACACTAGCCGGAAGTGGAGAGACAGAAAGAGCAGCAGATTGTCATCATCGCAATTCTATTTACCTTTCTAAATACAAACAGGACTCTAATGGGGATGAGACTGTTTTAGCATGACAGCAATGGATATTGTCAGCTGTTTTGAACCAAAGCAAGGAAACAAAAATGGTAACCCTTTCTCATGCAATAAAATTCTCTCTGTCGAAGTGACTTATATTTATATTTTCTTGGTGGAAAAAATAGAAATGTACTAGGAGATGGCCAGAGCCACTCAAGCATAGATTTCTGTTTCTGTTTTTTGTTTTGTTTTGAGCATGGCCAGTCTTAACAACTAATTAGTTAAAAGAAAAAAACATTTTTGGTAAAAGTTGAATGACATTCCTCATCTCTGCAAAGCCATAAGGTGCCAAAGGTACCTTATTACCATGAGTGAGAGAGTTAAATACCTCCCTCCACTTAATATTTTCTCTTCTGTGTGTTATCTGGCTGCTGTGTACCCTCTCCCCTCTCCCATCTTTGTGTGCTGATCCATGTATCATATTTTTGATTCATCCTCTCTGTGGCCTGTCAGCTTAGTTAAGAGATTTCCAAATCTTGTAGCCTTCGCTGACAGGGGGCAGCTGCAAACAGTCCCCTGGTTCTTCCCCGAGGAGAGCTACTGAGATTTAATTTTCAGTGAAAGGTGCAGCCTGCAATCTATGTCAGGTCCCCTAAGTCATCTGGGAACCCCAACAGGCCCAGTGGCGATAGCATTGTATTTCAGTCCCCTCCATTACACTGGGATTCCTCTAAAGGGGAAGGACTACTGTGTGCCCATTCTCAACCACTCTCTGCTTTAACATCGCAGGGAACTGAGAAAGAGCACCTTTAACGATGACAGCATTTTTAATGAGCAAATTAACCCTACCCTCTGCCATGATATTTAAAGGAAAAGTGTAGATCAGTGTCATTCTAAGCGGCACAGGGTAATAACGATAGTGTTCATAATAAAAAGTATTTTTAAAAGATCACTTTGAGCGTTGACCAACATTGCTAATTTTGACTAGGTTTTTAAACAGTCTTTATAAATAGTCTTCTATCAATTATTCCATTAGGCAGTTAAATCCACAACTCAAGTTTTTACCCACGTGCCCATTGTTTCAGACTCCCATGGATCAGATTATACCACCTTTATACCATTTCAAGCATAGAATAAATTTCTGTCATCCCTCAATATGAGTGGCGTTGTAGTGAAATTCAAATATAACAAATTCTATCTGATGGACACAATCAAAACTAAGGAACAAGATAGAAAGATTAATTAGAAAATATAGGTGCTGATAAAGAATCTTCACTTAAAAAGTGAGTACTGTTCTGTACATCGGACATCATTACACTGGTAATAAAGAATGAATTACTCTAGCTTTTTCCTCTGTCCATTCCTGCATTTTAAGACATCTTGCCTTATAGGCCTGGAAACCTCTGGAGAGTTCACTACTGGTCTCACTGCCTTCCACTGAGAATTTGTGGCTTGGTTGTCATGGAGACATCGTATTTCTCCAAGAATTGCTCATATTGATCCGTGGCCAGGCGTAAATGGCCAAGCGAGTGTGAGGATAAAGGGGGCTGGGCAGTCCTATAAAATGACCAGGGCTTGCGGGTTGGAAATCAGCTCATAGCAAACACTTAGGTAAAAAGAAAGAAGCAGTTTTATTTTGTTTCAGGATTTCTCTCTGCACTTTGGGCCATTGTCTTCTTTCACTATGAACTGAAAGAAACTTGTTAGTCACTTGTCATGTCAGATCTTTGGTGCTTGTCCTGACACAGCTGTCAGCCCTCCAGCTCTGTGCAGTTCAGGGACACACAACAAAGAGGCGGCAACATGAATTATTTATTGCTCCTTGTGTGGATAAAATTCTGTGATAAGAAATTAAGACACTTCTGACAGAGGTGCTTGTTTAGTAAGAAAGATTTTGATGAGAGGGTACATTTGCTTGAAGTATGAACATTCGATAGGCAGGATTCCTAAAACCGAACATGGAGGAAAATAAGTTTTGTCTTTCTTGTGTGAATTTGGTGGCACAGAAGGACTTCCTTGAGCTGTGAAAATATGAGTGTCCACTTTTTGACACCCCAAATTAACTTCCAAATAGCAAACCATTCAAAATGTGGGGGCTCCCACACTGTAAGCATCACTTTAGTGGTTTGGTCACCTCTGCTTCCCCTGTGTGAGTGCTGTCACTCTTGAAAATATTGACCACCTTAGAAGCAGAAGTGAAATTTGGGACTTTTAAGTGGTGAGATTTGGAAAGATGTATTCAAGCCAGTAAAGGTGCTTCCTTCTGCGGCTGAGCTTATAACTGCATCAATATGCCCTTTATTTATCGTATGGAAAGAAGTGCATTTAAATTCAAACACATCATTCTTACCATTTGCAAGGTGGAATGCTATCACTCATTTAAAATTCCTTTTAACCTTTTACTTACATGCAAAGTGCCCCCCCCCTTAACAAGTTGAATGTGGTCAGTCCTCTAGCTTTAATGAGTATTGACCTTACATAGTTTTATCTATGCAATGCTAAATGACTAATATATTTATTACATCATATTTAATGAATAGACTGGTTGTTTGAATAACATATAGCAAATGGAAGCAAAAGAAATTATTTCCCCATCCAAGCCCTGTTTACCAATATTGACTCATATATTGTTCTTTCCCAATAAAGTCTCTGCTTTGAAAATCTTCTAAACATCATTTTACTTTAGTTTTTGCTGCTTCTATAGCTAATACCAACCTATTTTTATATGCGAAAAGCAGAGGGACATTGACACACAGATATGCCCTTTATTTATCGTATGGAAAGAAGTGCATTTAAATTCAAACACATCATTCTTACCATTTGCAAGGTGGAATGCTATCACTCATTTAAAATTCCTTTTAACCTTTTACTTACATGCAAAGTGCCCCCCCCCTTAACAAGTTGAATGTGGTCAGTCCTCTAGCTTTAATGAGTATTGACCTTACATAGTTTTATCTATGCAATGCTAAATGACTAATATATTTATTACATCATATTTAATGAATAGACTGGTTGTTTGAATAACATATAGCAAATGGAAGCAAAAGAAATTATTTCCCCATCCAAGCCCTGTTTACCAATATTGACTCATATATTGTTCTTTCCCAATAAAGTCTCTGCTTTGAAAATCTTCTAAACATCATTTTACTTTAGTTTTTGCTGCTTCTATAGCTAATACCAACCTATTTTTATATGCGAAAAGCAGAGGGACATTGACACACAGAAAAAAAAAAATCTTTTTAAAAGAAGATGACGTTGCTATTTTAAACATCAATAGAGTTTAAAAGTGTCATTAATACAATCAAATTTTTAGGATTTATGTAAAATAGGAGAATTGACTTCGTGGATTGATTACTTTGGAATATAGTGGATTTTGAACTCAGTATGTAGATTGTTTGTTTTTACAATCTGCTGACTTGACGGGGATGATCCATCTGTCCATGGGCTGCAGTCTACATATAGGTCACAAGTTAGATGCATTGTGGAGTGGTTGTTCACCTGGTCTCTAGAGCGCGCTACCTTCCGCATCACGCCATTGTGATCTCTTTATTGGTTCAAGTTGTATACCCAGGCGAGTGCCTGAAGTCCATTAAGGTTGGCAAAGCACCTTTAGACCAGAGCATTCCTGTTACTTTGACCCTGCGAGTAAACCTGAAGGTCTCCGCTGATAGGGGAAAGTGTCTCTCAGCAGGGTCTTTTCTTTGGAATAATTCATTAGCAAAGAGTTTTGACTCACAGGTGAATCCCAGATTGAAGTTTCGGGCTTAGACTCCGTGAAGTCTACTTGCTCCTTCACTGGCATTTATACGTTCCTGAAGCCTGTGGGAATAACTTTGATGTCTAGTTATAGAAGCACTGAGACAATATTGTGAACTTACAGCTCCCGTTTTTGAGATTTTTAGGGCCATTAGGCTTTCTTTCTTGGGCGCTTTAAGGCCTGGTTGCTTCTGAGACTGAAAGACGTTATCACAAAAATAGTTCGGTGGAATTTTTTGCTGGTTAACCTCTTGTTAGCTATTTCTTATACAGTGATTAAAGTCCAATCCCCATTCTCCATTATAATAATAAAAAGGATGCCTTGCTCCTCTTCCTTATACCGTGGTGGTAAGAAATTAGTGAGATGGTCACGGTATTTATACCAGTGTTAATGAGAGACCTCGAGCTTTAATCACCTTACTGCCTTGGAAAATTAAGAATTTTATTTTTTCTGCCTCACAGACAGAGCACTTAACAGTAGCTTCAGATGAAAGTAGTAGTGGTAAGAAAGCATGGAAGTCCCAAAAATGCATTCGCCTAAGTGTTTTTACATCATTATAAAGTAGTTTATAATCAGTATGCATTTTGCCATTAATAGAACATTTTAGTGGGTTTTATATCACACATTATGTGTGTAGATCTATATTCATCATTGTCAATCAATATTACATTTGCATGAAGCTGAACAAAATGAGATTTCTCATAGTTTCCAGGGTATACTGCACTGTGAAAAGCCATGGTAGATGTTTTTTTTTTTTTTTCTTTTACTATTCTGCCTCATGAATCACCAGCAGAAATCAGGTAACAGAAAGTAGGACAGATTCAGGACTGGAGTGCTGGAGATGGCTGATGATGATGCATGAAGCAGAAAAAATGTAGAACGTGGGAGCAGCCCATCAATCACAGCCATCGAGAACACACTTCTTAGGGTTAGTGCTAAAAAAATGTTCTAGAAGAAGTAAGAACAGTCTCAGCAGTGAAGTATAAGCTCTTTCTTCCAATAGTGTTTAACGATATCACTATTTTTATTAGTTTACCCTAAGGAAAGCTTTAAACATCAACATAATTTTTAAAAGAATATAAAATAGTAGACCAATACACACACACACACACACACACACACACATACACTTTTATTATAGTATACAATATTGGTTTAACTGAACCAACAATCAGCTTTTTGAGTTTTTACTAGGAGAAAAGGGAATTACTATTTGAGGACACGTCATTGATATTAATGTATTTAAAAATGGTTAATTAAGGCACAATGCTACAATCAGTTTGATAGTCAAAATAAATTTTGAAAGAGTTTCATTTAGCCTACAAGACTGACCATGCAAATAATCTGAGGGGGGGGGGAAGTTCCATTTTAATTCTATAACTCAAACTATGTATCAAATATTAATATTGGGTCATTGGAAAAGTCATGACACTTTTTTGCATAGAAAAACATAGAAAAATAGGTCATGACTTTTCTGATGGTCCAATAATATTCATATGGCTTGACTGTAGAATTGTAGTTGCAGGTTTTTCTAAGAACTTTCTCGAAATTTACTAATTTCAAACCAAATTCATCTTGTTGAAAACATGCATCTTCTTTGGCAATTTTAAAAAGATAACTTATTAGTAATGTGCACAATTAAAATGTACTCACCTACTTTATAGGACAAGAATGTTTTTATACATTTACATATTTCAAGATAGGAAAGGAATGTAGAAATGACAGACAATTCCTTTCTTCCTTTCTTTCCTCATTTCTCCCTCTTCTCTTCCTCCTTGTTTATCTCTCTCTCCTCCTCCTCCTTCATTCTTTCCTCTTTTTGTGTTTCACTGTGTAACCCAGGATATCTCTTTTCTTTCTAGGTGAGCCAAGACATCATTCATGGATCGTAAAGGTGTGCTCCTGCAAGGTGTGCTAAATGGAATCGCATCTGGAAGAATTAGGATCGGACAAATTAAGACACCCAAAGCATGCCTTTCGTTTATCATTGTATAAAAGTAATGTTGTTATTATTCAAATTATTAGAGTGGTTTTGCTAATACTTTAGAGTGTATTGAAAATATAATTGCTGACTGAAGATTCCCACAGTTATCTAACAATAGTATATCATAGTCTAGATCATTCTAGAATGCCAGTGCACAGATACAAATTTAACAGTGCTTTAGATTGTCTTATCTTTTCATTCCCTGAATTATAGAATAAGCAACATTAAAGCCAATGTAACACACAGTACTTTTAAACTTCATGTTGTTTAATGTATTTAGTATAAAAACTTTACCAGATTTGATTTGTTAGGTTAAGACATTTGTTTTAGTAGTTGCTTTAATTCAGATGTATCACTGTAGTAAATCTCATTCCAAAACATGAAATGTTTTCCACCATAACCATTTCTACTTAGTCATCAGTTAGCCCAGGTAACTCATATACACAGTGTAGCAATAACTACCCTTGCACAGTTTGGTTACTTGGGTTTTCTAATAGCCTGGACACTGATGTCTTAGCCAAAGGTTCACCTTGCAGGCCATATATATATATATGTAGGATAGAGAAGGCAAACAGACTAATAGCATAGCTATCACAGCTGGTCCTTACTAACTATAAACACATGTAGTTCTCTTCCCAGAAGGAAGCCCAACTAGCGGAAATTCTACATCAAACACCTACAGAACAGTAGGAACAGATGTAAAGTGGTTGTCTCTTAAGACCTATAGTGAGCTGATTTATTTGCTGTGATTTATAATGCAAGATTCCTTGATTTATAAAAAATCATAAAAAAATTTAATATACAAATATTTCCAAATCTATAGAACAAATTGAAATAAAGTACAACTGAAAAATTAAAATAAACCAAACATGAACGAACAGCATTTTTTTTTTTTTGGAGAGATTTTTACCATAGGGCGCATGCACTTGCCAGAAAGACAGAGAGAGACAGAGAGACAGAAAGCGAGAAATCACCCCCCAGGGGGGATGGCCATACCGCAATCCCTTCTCCTCCATTCTCCTCTCAAGGTCTTGGGCACGCACACACACGCGACTGGCATGAGTCTAATAAGCCACCAGGTCCGGGACTCGGACCACAGTCAACTACATGGGAGTTCAGTGACATAGCCTTACACTAACTGCGGGTCCCAACAAACAGCATTTTTAAAGAAGCTGAAGGCGATTGAAATAAAATTTGTGAACATCACATACACTGGCAAGGAAAACTGTGTTGTTTCCCCAGCCTCCCGCCTACTTTTGTTTTTCTACCCCTGTGGTTTTCCAGTCCAGGAACCTTACAATGTAGGAAAATCAAACATACAAACAAACCTGTAAGTTAGCAAGAATGAATTCTATTTGTATAAAAACTTGACAACTTGGGTCAAGGTGCCATCTCTCTGCACAGTGGAAAATCCATATTTTGACTCCCCAAAGCTTAACTACTAATAGCCCACCATTGAATGGAAGCCTTACCAATAAAATAAATGATTAATTAACACACATTTTAAATGTTATATGTAGTATATCCTGTATTATAATAAAGTAAACTAGATAAAATGTTACAAAGAAAATCATAAGGAGGCTGGCAGGCAGCATGGTGGTTAAAGCACTGGACTCCCACATGACTGACTATAGTTTGAGTCCTGGACCTGGTGGCTTGAAAATCATGTTGGGCGCATGTGCATGTGTGTGCAAAATCCCAAGAGGAGAATGGAGGAGAAGGGATTGTGGTATGACATCTCTTCTCCCCTGTCCCCAGGGGGGTGATTTCTCACTTTGCCCCTCTCTCTCTGCTGAGTACTTGTGCCCTATGACAAAAATCTAAGAGAAAAGAAAAAGGGAAAGGAAAAGAAAATCATAAGGAAGAGAAAATAATATTAACAGTACTGTACTGAATTTGTCAGTTTATTCACCGGAACAAAAATCTGCATCTAAGTGGATGTACACAGTCCAGGCCCACGCTGTTCAAGGTCAGCCATATCTGTCTGTCTGTCTAACAGGAAGTTCAAATCACTTCAGTTTAACAAACATTTCTTTGAGCACCATCCTCAGGTCCTATGCTGAATGCAGTGGACAGAGGAAGGGAGACATTAGAGAACTATGTCTTGAGATGACATGGTCTCTACCCATAAAAGCTGAGAATTAACGGTTGACCTGGAACGTAAGTTGTTGTATGACGTGCCCTGGCCCTCAAGGCCATTACCAGGGCTCCCAAAAACATAATTGAACACGGCAATATTAAATAAGGATATGTTGTCTCACAGGGGCAATGTTAATAATGAAAATCAATTTGGATGCTCAAGTTCTGGCGTTATTTACTTAAAAAAATACTTCATGGGGCCAGCAGGTGGCGTGCTGGTTCAGTCACGGAGCTCCCACATAGCAAAATGCAGTTCCAGCCCTGGACCTAGCAGCTTAAAAAATCATGCCAGGTATGTGTATGTGCGTGCCCAAAATTCCAAGAGGCGAATAGAGAATTGTGGCATGGCCATCTCCCGTAGGGTATGATTTCTCACATTCCCTCTCTCTCTTTCTCTGATGAGCGCATGCACCCTATGGCAAAAACTCTAAAAACAAAACAAAACAAAAACTTTTAAAAAGCCCCACTTCATTATTATTATAATTAAGTCTTATTATTCTCCCTTTTTTTTTTTTGAGAGAGAGAGGTTTTTGCCATAGGGCGCGTGTGCTCCCCAGACAGACAGAGACAGACAGAGAGACAGAAAACGAGAAATCACCCCCAAGAGATGGCCACGCCGCAATCCCTTCTCCTCTCTTCTCCTCTCGGGAGCTTGGGCGCGTACCCACACGCGCCCGGCGTGAGTTTTAAGCCACCGGATCCAGGACGCGAACCCGCGGTCAACTACATGGGAGTCCAGCGATATAGCCATTATGCTTACTTCTGGTCCCATTATTTTTCCCTTTTTTAAAGAATAATAATAATATGTTTTAACAGTTGCCATACTTAGCATCTTTTCAGGTCTAAGAAAACCAACATTGAATCTCTGATAAATATTTTATAATGTCACTAGCTACAGAAAATTAAAACTGGCATAACCCAGGGACCAGCAGTTAGCATAATGGCTGTGTCATTGAACTCTCATGTAGTCAACTGCGGTTTGAGTCCCGGGCCCGCTGGCTTAAACTCATGCCTGGCACGTGTGCGTGCATGCCCAAGATCCCAAGAGGAGAATGGAGGAGAGGTGACTGCGGCGTGGCCATCCTCCCTGGGGGGTGATTTCTCGCTTTCTGTCTCTCTGTCTCTCTCTGTCTTTCTGGCAAGCACATGTGCCCTATAGCAAAACCTTTTCAAAAACAAACAAATAAAACAAAAACTGGCATAACCCTGATGTTACTAAATAGATATTTTAAGATTTTAGCATCATTAACATTTAAAATTGCATATCAAATGAGTTTAATTAGCATCTGCTTTATATTTAAGAATTTTGGAGGCCAACATTGTTAATTATCAAAACTCTTAGTTCCTGAAAGTGAGAATTTTACAGAGGGATATATAAGATAAAAGCAATGTGTTCCTAATACCGATGTGAAAGTGTCTTGTGACACAAATCTCCTAATCTATTTAAAAATGACTTATTTTGTTTATATTGACTTATATATTCAGCATGTCTTAGTCAATTTCTGTTTTCAGGAGACTTGAAATTGCTTCTCAGTTAATTGAATTGACCATGCAAGGATCCAATCACTTGGTACCACAGCTAGAAACTCAAAACTGACTTCTTGGATTGGGAAGTTCTTCTGTGCCTCTAGCTTAGGTAACCAGTGCAGTAGTTATTCTATCCAGACTCTCCCTGTCATTGTAATAAATAATTTATTTTAAGAATCACCTGTGTTTCTCTATTGGCTGATCACGTTGGTGATATATGTATGTATTGGGGGCTGGGGGTAGGTCTTTAAACAGTTTGTGGAAAACTACATAGGATTTCAAATTTTGTTTTGCATCTAAATAAACTCAGACCTGAATTCCATTTCCCATGAACTTTTTGAACTCTCTTTCTCTCTCTTTTCTCCTCAAAGGAATATCATACTTTAAAATTTGTGTTCTTTTATTTCTTGTGGAGTTATACCCTGGTTATATTGTATCTTGCAGAGGAAACAAATAGGGAAAGTATCTGGGGTTGAGAGCAGAGGCCTTCCTGCCAGGTATCAGGCAGCAGGTGCTTCTAGGGCCTTTCTTCCTGCATGTCGGAGAGCTTCTTCAAGGGGCTCCTTCCTCCAAAGGTGAGCTTCATAGAAAGCAATCACAGCACTGTACAACAGCACTTCAACTTCAAAGTAAAAGGTTCAGCATTTTTACATACAGTTGAAGAGAAGAGGCCTCAGACCTCCAACATTCTGTTATAATTTTAAGAAACTAAGTTAAAGCCACTTTGAACATGTCACTATTAGAAAAGTAGTAGGAAAACATTTTGCTGAATATTAATATTCTGTCTTCAGGTTTGGAGTGATTTTTATTTCTTTCCTTATACTTTTTCCTCCAATGTTCTGTACCTTCAAAATCTTCTTATCATTATTCAATGAACATATGAGAAAAGATACTGTTTCCCTCCAATCTTTAGAGGGCACATTATAATAATTGAGTTTTTTAAAGTTAAGTTTTATGCCATGTCTTTAAAATGAAGGCCCAGAATATATGAATTCCAATTGATTTCAAAGTCTTATTGTTACAAAATGGACTCAGTTATAACTTTTTAAATTTTATATTCTATACATTTTGATTGCTCAGTTATTTTAAAGCAATATTATAAACCTTTTCATTCTTCACAAAAGTTCTTACATATAAAGTACCTAAAGTTGTCTTTAATTTCATAAGAAAACTACTACTCTGCAGATATCTGCGTAACACTTAGCATTCTTCAAAATTTTCAAAATTAGCTGTCAGACCGGCCCCATAGCCTCGTGGTTAAAGGAGCCATGTCCCGTGTAGCTGGCCATGGTTCAAGTCCTGGCCTTGGTGTCTTGAAAAACACATTGGGCATGCATGTGTCCAAGTCCCAAGTCCCAACCAGGTAGAGAAGTGAAGGAAGGATTATAGCATGACCACACCACAGTGGAGTATGCTCTCTCTCTCTGTCTCTCTCTCTCTCTCCCTCTCTCTCTCTGTGAGCACACATGCCCTCTGACAACATTAAAATCAGTAACGATAACTGTAACCAAAACTGTTGCAAAGTTAAAACAGTGTGAGTAGAATTATTTTGGATGAAGTTACAAGTTTCAAGTTATGGTGGTCCCTGAATCACTCTGAACTTTAATTAGGGCCATACAGGTGTTTTTAGGAGAAGAATTAAACCAGAACTATAGCAGATCCCCAAGAGGAGCATGTCTCTGGAGACTCCCATCTGACCTGCCACACCCTGAAAGACTGCATCCGTCTCCACATCTCAGCAGCAGGGCAGGGACTACGGTGAGGCCTGCTTTGGCTAAGCGCCTTCATTCCCTGCCCTCATTCCAACCTTCTCAGACCCCATGTTTATTTAAAATCTTGATAGCATGGATTTTTCTTTGGCAGTAATTTAATCTTTAGAAATATTGTATTCAAATATATTTACCTTGATTACTCCGTGTTTTGCCACCCCTTAATCCTGGACCCTGCTCATTAAGCCTAGAATAAGTTTACTTTGGCCCTGTAAACTGTACTGCAGACAAACGGACTGTGACAATTGCATCATCGTGAGCATGATTCTCATGTTCAAAACAATGAAATTTTATTTTAATGCCACATGAAAACTTAAACCACAGGCCACCAAAAATGTGTGAAATGGCTTTCTTCTAGTGGGGTAGAGAGGTAAGTG